ATACATAGTTATAATTTCTATTTTTAAAAAAATGTGTTAAGACATGTTTTGTGGCCTAGGACGTAATCAATTTTAGAGAATGTTCTTTGAGCTGCTGAGAAGAATATATATTCAGTAGTTTGGTGGTAGAATCTTCTGTAAATGTCTGTTAGGCCCATTTGTTCTAGCATCCTGTTTAAGTTGTTTCTTTGTTTATTTTCTATTTGGAGAATCTGTCCCATTCTGTCAGTGGGGTGTTGAAGTCCCTGGCTATTACAATGCTGCTGTTTATGATTTTGTTTAGATCAAGTAGGATTTGCTTTATCAATCTGGGCACACCTATGTTAGGTACATAGATATTTAGGATTGTTATGTCTTCTAGATGAATTGCTCCCTTTACCATTGTATAATGACCATCTTTGTCTTTCTTTTGTTGATTTGAAGTCTATGTTGTCTGATATGAGAATGGCTACACCAGCTTTCTTTTGGTTTCTGTTTGCATGGAATATTGTTTTCCATCTTGTCACCTTCAGTCTGAATGAGTCCTTGTGGGTTAGATGCATTTCTTTGAGACAGTGGATACTTGGCTAGTATTTTTTATCCATTCAGCCAGCCTATTTTTATCCAGCCAGCCAGACTCTTCAGTGGGGAGTTCAAACCATTCACATTTATTGTAAGAATTGATAAGTGGGGTAGATTTCTGTTCATACTATTGCGTAGAACTTTATTTTGTTTTACCTCTTGAGGTATCTGGGCTCTGAACTTTAGCTTTTGGATGGTTTTACTCTGGTGGGTGTCTATTGTGAGTGGAATGGAAACTCAGAATATAGATCACTTTGAGCCACAAAGAAAATACATTTTTGCACACTTCACCTCTGTGTCCTAAGAAATTTGCATTCAGTCCTGAGATTTGGAGGGATATGTGTGCAGAGAAGGGTAGCAGCATAGAGTTCACACTGATTTTCATTAGTGAATGATACAGTACCTTAGGAATATCTATAACCAAAATTAGAGGAGCCGAGTAAACATGGAGCTTTCTTCCTTCATCTAGCCAAGCTCACCATATTATGATGTTTCACCGAAATTATTTATTCACCCAAAAATATTTTAAGTGCATACTATATATTAGCACTGCTTTAGAAGTTGGGCATATTTCCATGAGCAAACAGACAAGAAAGGTTCTGACCATAATGAAGCATGTATTTCAGGTGAGGAAGTGTGATGAATCTGCTAATTGATCAACATTATCTATTTTCTCTTCTTTCTGGAATATAGATAGATTATATTTCCCAACCTCTCTTACATTTAGATGAACATGTGATTTAGTTCTAGCAAAGAAGGTGTAAATAAGAGTAAAGTGTGATAATTTGAGGTCTGATCCATAACACTCTCCATATGTGTTGGTTCCCCTGTGCTCTTTCTCCTTTGGCTAGGTGGATGCAGAATACAATGAGGCTCTAGGGGAGTACAAATCTACAAGACAGATGATGCCATTGAATAGAGATGAGCCAACAGTAATATTTAAACAGCCAGCCAGGACTGTTAGGTGAACAAGAAATAAAATTCTATTTATTGAGATATTGCATGTTTAGGTCTATTTTTATTAGTAAGCCTACTCTTAACTTCCACAGGGAGAGGGCCAATAAATAATAAATATGTAATATAAACATGTGCTATGAAAAAATAAAGCAGACTATCACCCAGATCAAAATAAAAAACATTTCCATAACTTCAAAAAGTTCTCTAACAAACAACTATATTCAGTTAATTACCTTAAGCTACCAACCCCCCGTCACCATGCAGGCACATGTTGATTTCTATTACCAAAGATTGAATTTGAATGTCAATATGGTACATTGGAAAGCCTCAAAATATACATGGTGTTCATGTTCTTACATAAGCTAAATAGAATGGTAAGGTACAGATGGAATGGAAGGTAAAATTTTGAACATTAAAGAGAAAGCATTGCCAAAGAGGAATCTGAAATTCATCAGTAGCCTGACAAGCAGATGGCAGGAACCTTGAAGAATATCAACACCTTCTTTCTCTAATTTGCTTCTGTTGACAACCTCTTTTCTCTTCCTCCCAAATACTACAAACTTTGACTCCTTATTTCCTGGTAAATTGGTTTCAGATTTATGACTTAGATTGGATGCTGGTCTTTTTTATTTGAAATTTTGAGTTTTTCAAAAGGCAGGCACTTGATTGT